TTCTTTAAAGGTGCAATATTCAGCCTCACAGCTGACTTAACAGCAACAGGGAAGTCATATGAGAGTGGAAAAAATACCTCTAATGTGCTGAAAAATAATAAAGACCAAATCAGAATTCTATAGTCAGCAAAATTATGTTTGCAGAATGAAAGCAAAATACAGATATGTCCAGAAAACAAATTATGAGCAAGTATGCCACTGGTAGATTCTCACAGTTCTGAAGGTTGGAAAGTCCAAGATTAAGGCCCTGGTAGATTCCATGCCTGGTGAGGGGTCCACACTCTGGCTCAAAGATGGTACCTTCTCACTGGGTCTTCACACGGTAGGGATGAGGGGGGTCTCAGGCCTTTTTTGTAAGTGCTCTACTCCCATGACCTAATGACCTAATCACCAAAGGCCCCACTTCCAAATTACTTTGTATCACCTTCGGGGTTAGAATTTCAATCTATGAATTTTGCGGAGACACAAAAATGTTCAGACCATAGCAGTAAGCCTTAGACAAAAAAAAGAATAAAGAGCAAAGAAAGTGATGTGTGTATAAATACACTGACTATACAAATAAAATTAGTCTTAGAATTAAAAGACATTAAAGTACATGACAACAGAATTAAAATACATAACAGAAATAAAATACATGACAATAGTACGTAAGTTAGGAATTAAAGAGTTGTTCTAGTTATTGTGTCTGCACAATAAATAATTCCAAAACTTAGTTGCACGAACAATCCCTGTTCATGGATTCAGTGGTCAGGAATTTGGCACAGCTCAACGCAGCAAGAATGGCTTATGTCTGCTCCATCAAGTTTAGGGCCTGGAATCATCTGGAAGCTTGCTTACTCACATGTCTGACACCTGATGCTGGCTGTAGGATTGTAGCCTGTTTTTCCCCACGTGGACTAGTTTGAGCTTCCTTACAAAATGGTGTATAGGTTTGAAGGGTGAGCTTTCCAAAAGAAAGGGCAAGCAAGAAAGTGAGAGAGAGCCAAGAAAGCCACATAGCCTTTATGACCTAACCTTGGAGGTCTTAAAGAAGGTTGGAAGGTGGCAAGCTTCTAGAAGAGCAAGTGGCATTGAAAATATCGCTGTGGCCATTTTTGGAAAATATAATCTGCCAAAAGGTAAAGATAATGATTAATTTAAGTCTTACTTAATCTGAGTATGCATGATATAATACAGAGAAATAACTGAAAGATATAAACTAGTAAAGAGAAAAAAATGTGTTATAGCTCAGGAAAACAAACAATATCATTTATTTTAAGAAAGAATTTAACGTAAGAAATTGGTATACAAGTTTTGGGAAAATGGAAAATGTCGACAAGGTACACAATTACATATGTTAAAGGTAAGAAGGTGGGATTATTAGAACTTAGAAGGCCAAAAGAGATACCCTGCAGAATGCCAGAGAAAAACTGGAGGCTGGGAACCAACCACAGCTGCTGGAAGAACCACTGCTGAATGCGGACAATACTGGGAGGCAAATGGGAAGGGGAAAAGTCTCTTCTCCCTATTTCTGGCATTCTAGTCTCCTTGTAGTGACCCTTTTTTGTGGAACCTAAATAGAAGCCAGATGGCAAAGAAGAAATGTAGCTTGCAAAGTTTCAGCCACAAAGTCCCAGAATACAGACTAGCTGATTATCGAGAGATAATCAGCTAATAACTGGCATAAATGGAATAACAAAATAAGTAAATACTAATTTAAAAAGGCAGGAAAATAGAGAAAAAGAACCACAAAACAGGCTAGACAAAAAAGAAAACAGCCCACCCTCCCCCAAATAAAATGGCAGAAATAAATCTATTGGTAATTATATTAAATATAAATGGCCTAAGTGTCCCAGTTAAAAGACAAAGATTATCAGATGAGATTACAAAAAAAGCCACGTGTGGTGGTGCATGCCTATAGTCCCAACTAAATAAAACAAACAAAACCCAAACACTAAAATCCTAACTCTATGATGTTTACTAGACACACATTTAAAACA